CTGCATTGTAGGGAAAGAAAATACTAAACTGACTCCTTTTTAACAACAAACAAGCAAACAAAGAAAAAAAACCATTTAGGTTGTAAATACGCATTTCCTTAAACTCAACGGATTTTTTTTTTTTTTTTTTTTTTTTGGGGGGGGGGGTGGTGGTGGAATTTTTAATTATCTCTACTATTTTTTTTTCCCCTCCTCTTTTCTCCATCTCGCGTTTTTCTCGGCCAGAAACCGAAAAGAGATGCTGGTGGGAGCGCTGCCCGCAGCCGCGGCCGGGTCTGCGCAGCGCGGATCCTCTCCGCGGAGCTCGGAGAGGGGGAAAGAAAGAGGGAAAGGAGTAGGGGAAAAAAATAAAAAGAAGGAGAACACCTTTTCACCATCGCTGTCCAGAAAGGACAGAACGGGGGGAAATAAAAGGGAGAAAAGAGACTTACCGAGCGTGAAACCGGGGCTGCGTTACGGAAAAAGGAACAGAGGAGGAAGAAGGAAAGGGAGCGGCATTGGGTCCCATCCAACCCGGGGGGGACACGGACACCCCGCACCCCCCGCCCCGGCCGGCCCCGCTCCGCGGTAGTGCAGCGCACTTTGGGGAATGTGTCGATAGTGGGGGGGTGGGGGGGGGAAGAGGTCGCCGCTGGGACTTGCGGAGCCGGTTTTGATCTTTCTCAGATTTTTTTTCTTTAAAAAAAAAAAAAGAAAAAAACAACAAAAAAAAAAACCTCCTGCAGTGTCCCGGGGCAGTCGCCCTCCTCTCAGCTTCAAAGATATGAAGGGGGGGGGGAGGAGGGGAAAGAAAAGTCCCACTCTCTTTCTCCTCCCCAGTTCTAATTCTTCGAATTTCTGTCCTTTGGCAGAGCAAGGATTTTCCCCTTCTTCCCCCCCCATAGCTTTTTTTTTTTTTTTTTTTTTTCCGCTGAAAAAGTGCGTGTGTAGGGGGTTGAGTGTTGCACGAAGGGATTAAAAATCGCACCCGCTGTCATCAGGCTCTGATTTGTACTCTTGCTGTATTTGCATTGCCCTGCACTGCTTTGTGTGTGCGCGTGTGTTTGTGCCTTCCCTCCCGATCTTCGCGAAAGGGAGAGAAATGAATTATTAGAAGAGAACGGAAACAGAGAGATAGACGCGATTTTTAAACAGAAGTGAGAAAGTGCAGCCACCCCCTGGGGCTGGGTTCAGAGCGGGGAGGGATGGGCTGACATGGGATGGGGTGCGCGGAAAGGAGGGAAGCAGAAATGCTGTTCTTTGACATTCTATTGTTGCTAATATAATTATTACTACTTTATTTATTAATTATGCTGATTTGAGCTTCGATTTTCCCGAGAGGTAGGCGGAAGAGGTGGGGGAGAATTGAGGGAAAGAGATCGTAATTCCTGATTCATGCGAAGGACTCATCATCATCATAAAATAAAAAGGGAGAAAAAAGAGAAATATTCCCTCCTCTCCCCGTCTTTGTCCAACCCGAGATTATCGCACCGGGGACCTCAGTTTTCGCTCTGCACCCCGGGAGGGGTCGGTGCGCACAGAGGGGGAGCAGCGCTTCTCCCCCCCCTCCCCGTCCCCTTTTTGCCTTCGGTAGAACACAAGTTGTTATACAGCGGGCAAAAATCTTTGGGAGTTCTGCCCTGGGCCGTGTCCTCTCCGTAACCCTCCGATTCGTAGCTCCCGGCTGTTTGTACAGCTTTACCTGTACTATTCTGGTACCCTGTAAAAACCCCAGCCCGGCGAACGTAACTTAATCCGCTTTCAGTCAATTGTCGTCTAAAAGGGGGCTGGGGGCTTGGGGAGGGGGAGGAAGGAGGGGGCTTTTTGCCTGTCCCCGCCCCGAGCAGAGCTAGCGAAATCCACGGCGGTGCCAACGGTGGGCACGGGGCTCCCCAGGACCGGAACGCAGCCCCGATATCTATTGTAACAGCAGGGCTTGGGGTGATCCCCAAGGGAGGGTGGAGGGATTGTGCTTTTTGGATGGTCGCTTGCAGGGGAAAGTTTAAGGTGGGTCGCCCCATGTCTCTGAGCTTTTTCTTCTTTTTCTTCTTTTCTCATTTCGGGACTTTCAGACACTTCCACCAAGCCCGTTCTGACCTCTCAGTGACAGGACTCGCCCCATTCCCCCCCCATCCCGCATCCGTCTCTCCAGCTGAAGGGATGATCCAGTTGAAAGGATGCTGCCGGCAGCTCCCCCCCGCCCCCCACCGTCCTCCTTCCCCCCCTACTCCCTACTCCCCCCCCCCACGGCTGCAGAATTAACCCCCGAGCCTTTATCTTGGCGGCTGGTGGCGATCGTGGGGCTAATTGCTCCAACAATGGGCCCCTATTAGCGCCGGGCTGTCACTGGAAACCCTGCTGGGGGTTGCAGGAGGGGGGGCGAGGTGATGGATCTGCAGCCACAGCCTGGGAAAAGGACGGTCAAGGCCAGCTCTCCTTCCATCATCTCTGGGGATCGCAAGTTAACGGGGAGGGGGGAGTTGGGAAATAATAATTTGCTCTCATTTTTTTTATTTTCGAAGGGGGGCTGTTTTTACCCTCCCACCACTGCTCTCTCCCGGCTAAGAAAGGTATAGAAAAAATTGGAGTAGAAAGTAGGGGCAGATGGAGAAAAGTTGATTTAAAGTTGGCGTCCTCGGCAAATCGGGGCTGTGATGATGCATAGGCTCTCGCTGTGTCACCCCTCCCGTCCCGTCGCGGCCCCTCAGCATCGCTCCCCTCCTTTCCCTACCACTGCCCGCATCACACTCGGAGGACTTTCCCTCCCTTCTCCTTTAAAAAAAAAAAAAAATATATATATATATATATACATATATACATATATATATATATGTATATATATATATAAATAATTGCTATTTTACTGAATTACATTTTATTATATTCCATTCCAAAATCTTGCATTTTTTTTCCCCCTTTGCTTTTTACTCATTCTATTTTGCCTCAAGCATCCGTCGTCCTCTGAACAGCTGAAGGATGGCGACTTCGCAGTCTTTCCTTTACCCCCGGACAGGGGCAGAGGCACGTTTTCTCTATTCCTCAGCGATTTTGTGACCTCTAGAGGGAATTTCCCCTCCTCCGTGCTCCCACCGCTGTAGGTCCCAGAGCTGTAACAACGGCAGCAGAGCAGGGGAGGGGTGAGGTGTGGGGAGGATGTTCTAACTCACCTGCCCCGAGCTCGGCACTAAGACATCCTCCGTTCAGTGTGTTAAAAGAGATTTGTTTAAAGTGGCTTTTTCAAAGTGTTGGAGAGCAGATCTCATCCAAAAGAATGGCTTGGGGTCAGGGAAAACGTAGGGAGCAGGGATAAAGGGAGCACTTTCACGTCTATAAAACACATTTAGAGCTGGACTGGGGAGGCGGAAAGTTTGTCCTAACAGATGAATCGCAAGTGAGGTGTTCTACTCTCCCCCTTCACCCTCGCTTCTTTCCTGCTGCTCTCCTGCTCTCCTAATGGGCTGCTGGGAACGCTGCCCGGCTCCCCTCGCTCGGCTGTATCTGGCGGTATCTGGCGGTATCTGCTCGGCAGGGCTGCAAGGGGGGATTGGTCCTCGCAGCCCGGGGTATTCATTCCCCATCCACTTGGTATACAACATCCCCCAGATGCCCTCTCCCCGCTTATCCCCACGGGGCGCGTTTTCCCGTGGCTGGGCTGCGCGCTTGGTTCCTTTACCCCGCATTTGTTTCTGCCCCGAGTTATAGTAATATATACCGCAAATAAGATTTTTAACGCCCTAACCTAAGAAAAACGATATTTCTGTGTACCGTCTCTAACGTCGAGTGGGTCGCCTCAGCCCCGCTCTCAGCGGAGGTGTAAAAACGCGTTTGAAAATCGGCGCAAGGACCCGGCGCATCTGCTGCAGGCTGCGCCCTTCGGGGAGCGGGCAGCGATTTCCCGTCGGCGCACAGAGCGGAGCAGAGGGGAGCGGGGGGTGCGCGGGAGGCGCTGCGGAACCGCGGCTTTTAATGAGCCCCCCCTGCATGAAAGGGCTGAGAGGAGCTTCCTCCGGCAGCCGGGTAGAGTCTGGCGTGCTGCTGCGCGGGGAGACAGCACGCTCACAGCGGCCCTGTAAGTCACTTCTTCTATTTCCTTCTTTCTTTTTTTTTTTTTCTTTTAAAACTTTTTTTTTTTTTTTTTCCCCCTAAACCTTTTTCCTTTTGCTACCTTTTCTCTTTTTTTTTTTTTTTCTCTCTCTCCTTTTCACCTTTTTCCCTTTTCCTTTTCTTTTTCTTCCCTTTTCCTCTCCTTTCCTTTTTTTTTTTCCCTTTCCCTTTTTCTTTTCTTCCCCTTTCTTATCCTTTCCCTTTCTTTCCTTTTCCTTTTTCTTTTTTTGCTTCTCCTTTTTCTTTCCTTTTCTTCTCCTCTCCCTTCTATTTTCCCCATTTCCCTTATTTTCTTCCCTTTTTCTTTCCTTTTCCTTTTCCTTTTCCTTTTCCTTTTCCTTTTCCTTTTCCTTTTCCTTTTCCTTTTCCTTTTCCATTTCTCTTCTCTTCTCTTCTCTTCTCTTCTCTTCTCTTCTCTTCTCTTCTCTTCTCTTCTCTTCTCTTCTCTTCTCTTCTCTTCTCTTCTCTTCTCTTCTCTTCTCTTCTCTTCTCTTCTCTTCTCTTCTCTTCTCTTCTCTCCTCCCCTTGTCCCCTATCTTCTCTCTTCTCCCCCCACCCTACCAACATTCTCTCCCCTCACTCCCCCCTTCCTCGCCTTCCCCCACATCCACCTCAGACCCCCGCTCTGTCCCCGCTCCATCCCTGCCCCTATCCCACGCCCGGTGCCGTGCCGGCGGTACGTCGGGGCCGCTAGGGGATGCCCTGGCTCAAGGCAGCGGCCGGGCCGGGCCGACGGGGCGCGGGCGGGCAACCAATCAGCGCGGCTCGCTGCCGGCGCCCCAGTTCCTGCTCTCCCCCCATTGGCTGACAGAGCTGCGGCGGCGGCCCCCGCTGGGCGGTGGGAGGCGCCGCGGGGTGCGGAGCCCGGGGGGCAGCGGGGTCCGTTCGCTGAGCCCCACCGGGACCCTTCCCACTGCCGGGCACACCGTGCCTGTCTGTAACAGATCTCCTGTAGAACCGAGATCTCCGCTGGAACTTGAAGGGAAAAAAAAAAAAAAAAAAAGCCCCAGAAAACTCCAACAAAACAACGCTAAACGTCCCCAAATTGTGTTATTTCCAAACTTGGCGCTCAGGTCCTTAAAGAAAAATATTTCCCGAGTCAGAGCGGCTTTAAGCACGAAGAGACGCGGCTTTCTTTCCCGGAGGTGTTGCACCTGCCGGAGCAACGGCTCGTCCTGAGGCTCTGCATCCATTGGGATGGGCCGGGGGGAGGCGGAAGGAACGACCCCCGTGCAGCCCACAGCGTCCGGGAGCGGCACCCGCGCTGCCCTCAGCTCCCAGAGTTTCGTGGCTAGTGGGAAAAGTTATTTTCTTTTGAAAAGCATAGTAATAGGGCAGAGGAAAAAAAAAAGTGAGGGAAAACATATAAAAAAGAATAAAAAAGTAAATAAAGTTTAAAAAAGTTAAAAAAAAAAGCGGAGAAAAAAAAAAAAGAATAAAAAAGGAAACAGATGGGAAGAGAAAGTAAATAGAAAATGAGAAAGTAAAGAATAAAAAAGGAAAAAAGAAAAAAAAAAAAAGAAAAAGGGGAAAAATTAAAAAAGGGTGAGTAAATAAAAAGAATAAAAATAGCCAACGATGGGGGAGGGGGGTGGGAAGTGCAAAAAAAATAGTTGTGAAAGTTGCGTCGCCCACCGCGGAGTTGCGCGGGTGCGCCCCGGGCCGGTCCCTGGCGGTCCCCTCCTCACCCTGGGCCAGGCTCCGCCTCCCCCGTGCTTATGACACTGGAACCTCCTTAAGTTGCGTCTCGCCACAGCTGTCTGTAAGCACTGAGCCGGCTGGCGCCATCCTGCTCCTTTCAGAAAGAATGCCTTCCCTGTAAAAAAAAAAAAAAAAAAAAAAAAATAGAGAGAGAGAGAGAGAGAGAGGAAAGCCAAAAAAAAAAAAAAAAAATAGGGAGAGCGAGCGAGCACAATCCGATCCGATCAAGCACTTTCAGCTTCATCCCTCCTGGGTCACACACTGCTCCTCCACCAAGGTTTGTGCGGAATTTCTTTTGCAACTTGACTTTTTTTTTTTTTTTTTTTTTTTTTTTTTTTTTTTTTTTTTTCCCCTCACTCCCGTTTCCTTCTCCTTTTGCCCTCGCACCCCCACCTTCTTCTCTATCGCTTTCCCCCCTCCTCTTTTATTTTCTTTTCCTCTCTTTTCCCCTCTCTTCCTCCCTTTTCCCGGTTGCATAATAATTAATGAGCAATCAGAGCGGCCGTAGGCTGCGGCGCAGCGAATGGCACAAGTTCTCACCGGGCTTAAGGCACTGGAGCTGCTCAGGTGCAAATTGAGCAAATAAATAAACAAACAAACAACAGCGGCGACAAAAAAAAAAAAGGGGGGGGGGGGAGGGAAGGAGTGAAAATGAAAGAAGAAAAGTAAAGAAACGGGGGAAAAAAGTGAGGAAAAAAAAAAAAAAAAAAGAGAGAAAAAGCGAAGCGGGAATCGGAGCCGCGGCTGCACGGGCTTCGCTGCGAGCCGGGCGGGGAGAGAGCGAAAGAGAAAGAGGCGCTGGGAGAGGTGGGTTCAGGGCAGAGCGGCGCTTCCCAGGGCTGGCTCAGAGATGGGATGGGTTTGCTCCTGCCTAAAAAGTCAGGTGCTAAAGTTCAGAACTTCTCAAGCACGTTTCTCTCTGCCTCTCTCTCCCTCTCTCTGCTCCTTCCCCTTTTCCTCCTTCCTCTTTCTCGTTACAGGTGATCAAAGAAGAGAAACATCTACAAGAAGAGCGGAAGATACAGAGGGGATCTCACTTCGTAGAGATTTTTTCCCCCCCTGAATTTGTTTTCCCTTTTTTTTTTTTCTTTTTTTTTTTTTTTCCCCCTTCAGTATATTCTCTTATTTTTCTTTTTCTTTTTTCTTTTTCACTTTTTTTTTTTTATTTCTATTTTTTTAATTTTTTGGAACCGAACATTTCTCACCACCACCCCCCTCCTCCCTCCGATTACAAACCAACCCAACCCCAACCTCGCCGAAGCTCTTTCCCCACCCCGACTCTGCACAGCCGTCCCCCCCCTCCCGTCGCCAGCCTCGCTGAGGAGGAGGAGGAGGAGGAAGAGCAGCGAGCGCGGAAGATGGAGGTCTCCACGGACCAACCGCGGTGGGTGAGCCACCACCACCCGGCCGTGCTCAATGGGCAGCACCCGGACTCCCACCACCCGACTCTTGGCCATACCTACATGGATCCCACGCAGTATCCTCTCGCCGAGGAAGTGGATGTACTTTTTAATATCGACGGACAAGGCAACCCCGTGCCTCCGTATTACGGCAACTCCGTGCGAGCCACCGTGCAGCGGTACCCGACGGCCCATCACGGTGAGTGTCCGCCCCGAGCCCCGGTGCCGCCGGGCAGACCCCGGCAGCGATCCTGCGGGGCCGGGAAGAGACGTCACGGGTGGGTTTTGGGGCCGGCTTTTAGAAATACGGCTCAATCCTGGCTACTTTTCGTTTTCTTTTTCTTTCTGTCTTTCCATTGTTTTGCTTTCTTTCCTATCTTTCTTTTTCTTCTGTTTTTAATCTCTTTCCCTTCTTTCCCTCCTCTCTTTCCCTATTTCTTCCTCTTTCTCTTTCACCTACCTTTTTTTTTTGTTTGTTTCCTTTCTCTTTCGCTGAGCTATTTTCCTCTCTAATTAGCTTAACGGCGTTTTCACATGGTGTTTAGCTTTTGCACCGTTCGCTGCTCTCCAGAAGCAGAGCCGTAGAGCAGGGGTGATGCAGGTGATGCAGTAGAGCAGGGAATGACCCCGCAGCCCTCATGCTTGGGATACTTCATTCGCACTTCAGGAGCTTGTTAGGCTCAATTTGAAAGTTTCACCCAGGGCCGCATCATGGCGTGTGCTAAAACAAGAAAGTCAGAAGGAAGATCCCAAACCAGGCAGCAGAGCAGTGGTGTTTTCCTGCAGGAAAGTGGTTGATCCACGATGTGAATGTTGCTCCCGGGTCACTGCTTTTAGAGAAGGAGGTGAAATACCTGTGGCCGATGGGGCCTGGGGCTGCGGAGGGATGGATGTTTTGGTGCCATCTTTTTAGGGATGAAGCAGAGCAACCCAGGGTGTGTGACTGGAGTTGTCTCTATGGTTAAAAGTTAGGGAATAATAATAATAATAACAATAATAATAATAATAATAAGGCAGGGAAATGAGCAGCCGCTGAGCTCCGCAGCTGGAGAGTGACCTCTCTGAAGTGTTGGAATCTAAAAAGCCCGAGGCTCAACCCAAAATCAAGGAGAAGAAGGTGGGATGAGAGTGGCAGTGGAGCCGAGCTGGGCTCAGCGCTGCTCCCAGCTCTCAGCTACTTGTTGAGTGCGAGTCTGCATTAGGTCCGCTCAGTAACTGCTTTGTTCTGCCATTAGTCCCTTTAAAACAATTATTTCTGAGGATCAGCAGCCTTTGTCCTTTCTTTCTTTTCTGCTCTTTTCATTTTTTTCCCCCAGTATATCAGCAGAAAGTGGAACTGCGGTCTCTCTGATCTAGCCTGAATATTATTTACTATGCTACTTCCTGGAGAAGATAATGAATCTTGACCCTTTCTGTTCGTATAACCCACCTTCCCTTCCTTCTGAGCAGTTACTTTCAGTATTGTTCAAGAATGTCTGGTACAATGAAAACCAGCCTGTAGGTTTTCTAACACACACATGCCCACATGTAGACATATGTGTCCACACTGCACCCGCTCTTTTGCTGTCTGTGGCTCTATAGATGCGTTGTTTGCATCTATCCTGTTCAGCACTCTGTACCACGATAGCTGGAGAGATTCAGGCTCTCTGGGTGTCAGTGTGTTTCAGGGTTGTACAGCAGACACAGCCTTGCTCTCTTCCAGATGAATAACTGTTTTTTCAGCTTCCAGCGATTTGCTGAAGTTGCAGTGGATTTGGGTAGATTTGATTCTTTGGGTGTTTTTTTTTTTTTTTTTTTTTTTTTAGAAAGGGCTAAAATGTGAGTTATGATCCCTCCAGAACATTTGTGACAAAAGGGAAGAAAGTTTCGGTTGCATTAGCTCAGAGGTTTTCTTTCCCCCTGAAAGCCCAGGTCTGTATTTTAATATACAGTGAAGAGTTTGTAGTTGTGAGAAGGGGTTGGAGAGAGAGTTTATTTTCAGGTTGGTACTCTCTCTCTGTGCCACATTGCCACCAAAATCTGTCTGACATTTTTGTGCAACCCCAAGGATGGGGGGGAGGAGGGGAGAAAACAAACTGCGACGAAGTTTGCAAAGTTCAGCAGTTCGGTTGGGAAGGTTAGAAAGGTTATAATCACATTTTTGGGCATCTTCTGATCCTCTTCGTTTGGCCAGAATATACCTAGGGTTTGTAGCCCATGGCTACTTTTGGAAAGCGCCTGACAAATTATTTCCCAACTCAGAGAAATGGTTTCTGCAGCAAGGGCTGGGCAATTTCGTGCAGGATCTTTGCTTCCAAGTCCACCTGGGGTTGTCTGGGAGAGGGCAAAGGGGGCTCTGTGTCTCAGCACATCCCCGCTTGGGGGGTCCCAATCCCTCAGGATCGCAGCTTTCAGGATTTCAATTTAAAAGGGAGAACACTGAGGGGTTCGCACCAGGTGGGTTTCTCCTATGCTCTAAGCGTCCGAGGAAGGAGCAGGGCTGCAGCCCGCATCCCCCAGCAGATCGTAGGGCAGGCAGAGGGAATGTAACCGGCTTTTTCTCGCTGTGCTTTCTCCGAGCAGGCAGCCAGGTGTGCCGGCCCCCTCTGCTGCACGGCTCGCTGCCATGGCTGGACGGGAGCAAAGCGCTGAGCAGCCACCACAGCGCTTCCCCTTGGAACCTCAGCCCTTTTTCCAAGACCTCCATCCATCACAGCTCGCCGGGACCCCTCTCCGTTTACCCGCCCGCTTCTTCCTCCACTTTATCAGCCGGTCACTCCAGCCCGCATCTTTTCACCTTCCCACCGACCCCTCCTAAAGATGTGTCCCCGGATCCGTCCATCTCCACTCCTGGCTCCACCGGCTCCACCCGGCAGGATGAGAAGGAATGCATCAAATATCAGGTGTCCCTGGCTGACACCATGAAGCTGGAGTCGTCTCACTCTCGGAGCAGCATGGCCTCGTTAGGAGGAGCCACCTCCTCCGCTCATCACCCCATCACTACTTATCCACCGTATGTCCCCGAATATAGCTCTGGACTTTTCCCCCCCAGCAGCCTCTTAGGAGGATCGCCTACTGGGTTCGGGTGCAAGTCACGACCGAAAGCGCGGTCGAGCACAGGTAGGGTTTTTGGCTGCTTCGTCCCAATTTGCTGGGGAAGGGAGAGGAAGCGATGGGATGGAGCGTGGGTTGCGTACCCCGGGGGCTGATTCCCGAGGAAAGGAGAGGAAAAACGTTGAATGTTTCTCATAGGTTACCCTGCTGGGATGCTAACCCCAGGCTAAGTCCTTCCCGAGTGCCCGAGCCTTGTGCCCAAGCCTTGTGCCCGAGCCTTGTGCCCGAGCCTTGTGCCCGAGCCTTGTGCCCGAGTCTTTCCCTCCCGCTGGGCTCCAACCCCGGGGGCGATCCCAAACGCCTCTACTGTGCTCAGCTGCGGGCGTTTAATGAGGAAGCGAAACCGAGGGAACCGCAGCATTAGTGTATCTCTCCGTATTTTAATAATGGTACTTAAATCCCGGCCAACTTCCCCCGCCTGCCCTCCGCCCCGCTCTTCCCAGCGCGGCTCAGCCCAGGGCCTCTTCCCATGCGGCGCCGGGAGGCTGGGAAACAGGGAGGGGGGGGGGAGAATTACCCTGAGCTCACCCCCCCAGCCCCATCCAGCTCCGTGCCCGCCCCCGGACCGGACCCCAAACCCCGAGGAAGGCACAGCGGTGGGGTCTCGGCGCACTGCGCACACTGCGGGGCTGTGCCGGATGGATGGTTGGGATTTAGGGTGCACCAAAGGGTGCTGCTGTGTGAGTAGAAGAAAGGGCGATTAGTCAAAACTCTTTTCCTTTTCCTTTTCTTTTTCTTTTTCTATTTTTCTTTTTCTTTTTTTTCTTCTTTCTTTTTTTTTTTTTTTTTTCATTTTTTTTTCTTTTTTTTCTTTTTTTTTTCCGTGGAGGCTGCTGCGGGGTTGCCTGGCATGAATGAGATCAGTTTTCAGGGTTTTTCCAGGGTGACATTTACTCTGTCTGTCTGAGCAGGGACTGTCTCTATTTAGCTGATATGTTTGAGCTAATCCAATTATTTTCAGACTGCTGCACGCGACAGTTGCATTGTTTATCCAGCGCCAGGAACTTTAATAGAGTCCGGATGCGGTTAGAGTGACAAAAAAACCCAGACCTGTGTGTTTTGTACATGAAAGCAGGAGAGAGAGAGAGATGGAGTGAAACAAAAGAGAGGGACAGAGACACAAACGGCCTCAGAGCGGCCGCCCCGCTTAACCAGAGCGGAGTGAACCCACCCGGGTGCTCCGGAGCGGTCCCGACCCGACCCGACCGCTGCGGCTCCGCTTTATCCTCACCCCGAACCGCGGGGCAGCGGCTGCGCGGGATTTTCAAACCGTTTTGCCCCCCCCCTTCCTCCTTCCTCTTGTTTTCCTTTTGCCACTTTCTGTTACTTTACCTTCTAGAAAGACTTCTGCGGTTTGCGATAAACCAACCCCAAGAGCAACACCTATTTTTTTTTTTTCTTTTTTTCTTTTTTTAAAGTCGATTTTAGCAAGCTGGGGAGCTCACAGACAAAGGGGGATGGGTCCGGGTGAAAAGAAGGGAGGGGGTGTTTGCG